TACTTGTTTTTCTGCTTTTTGGTTTTTGTTTTGTTCTCTCGGGTGGGTCAGTTTCATCAGAGAGGAGTCTTAGTGTCTTCTATCCGGGAACATCAGCCTGGCTTTCAGCCTTCTGAGAGCCCAGAGATAGAAGATGGCTGAAGAGGGAGCTTGCGGAACTTAACTCCCTCTCTTTAGTTTAGCCTCTCACCTCAGCTCTGAGTTATAGCCAGTATCCATAGCACTAGAACTTCTCTAGTTCAATTTATTCAGACAATAAACTTCTTATTTTTTTGCTGTGGTGAGGAAAGGGCAGTCACCTTGTTCACAGCATGGAGGTTGTTCAAGGTTCAAACTGTCTTTTATACAGTCTTTCCATCAATCCTCCTATTTTACTCCACTCCCACCGCCAACGTGAGCAAAACCTGTTGCCTCCAATTTTCAGCCTTCCCTGATTCTGTGGCATGAATCAGATTATTTCTTATCAGCTTCACTCATTAAAGCCTCTTGCATTTCCTTTTTCCCTGCTCTAATATATTCTTCTGGTTTATACACCATGTTGCCAATTTTTAAGATGCTCTATCTGCTCTCATTCCCTCTTCTGTTTTCTTACTTCTGGGGCTTACTTCTTTCTCATTGATTTACTGCCATTTTAATTGGATTTGGGGAATAAATGGTGATAAACATGTATCTTCAATCTGGCATGTTTATAAGAAACCCTACCCTTATTTTTTATGCCTACCTGACTTAAAAAGGGTAAATTTATTCAAATATATCCACCCTCTTCCTGAATAATAAAAAGTCTGTAGAATGATTTAACTCTACCTATTTGTCTGTCTTTCATGCTATTATGACGTAGTATTTTAAAAAAATACTAAATACTAAATTTTTTTAAATGGCTATTTAAAAAAATGCCATTGGGGCCGGCCCGCGGCACAGCGGTTAAGTGCGCGCGCTCCGCTGCTGGCGACCTGGGTTCGGATCCCGGGCGCACACCCTCGCACCACTTGTCAGGCCATGCTGTGGTGGTGTCCCATATAAAGTGGAGGAAGATGGGCATGGATGTTAGCTCAGGGCTGATCTTCCCCACAAAAAAAAAAAAATGCCATTAATTATATCATTTGTTATAGCTGTTTTTATATTTAACTCTCACTTTTAAATATCCATATATTCATCACTATTGATGCTAGGACCCATTCCTTCATTTTGAATTCAATGTTCTTATTCCTGAACTACATTAGCAAGGATTTGTGAGTAAAATATCTTGTTTGGGTTTGTTTTTTTACTAAAATTTTTTTCTTTTGCTCTCACTTTTAGATGATAGTTTATCACAGTTTTGCATTCTGGATAATTTTTCTCAGATCTGTATTTCAGATCTTGTTCTGAATTTGTTTGGGTCCCCTGAGAAGCAGACATCAAGACAGGATTAGACTGCAAGAGATCTATTGAGGGCAATGACCATGAGGACAAAAGGGAGGAAGCGGCAGGAGGTGGGGAGCTGTCAGACTAGGACGCAGGTCTGAGTCCAGTGAAAGAGAGAGGGAAGGAAGAAGTGTTGGGTAAGCAGTGTCTTAAACTGCCTACTAAAGTTTCAGCCAGGCCAATGGGAAGTCTTGGGGTAAAGTCATTCGTCAGAGGATTCTTGAGTCTCAAAGGACTATGTCTGCCTTAGTATCCCCAGTACACTCAGTCGTTGGTTGGGATCAGGCTGCTGGAAGCACAGCCTCAGCATGAACGTGGTGATAGATTCAGAGCAAAGCCATTGGGGCCATCCATCAATTACACTCCCCACAGCAGATCTTGAGTGACACAATTTCATGGCTGCCACAGATTCCTATTCAACTGTGGGTAATCGGCTCCTTAACTCTGATAATTTTAATGACTATATGTTTCATTTCCAGAAATTTCAAATTTTATTCTTTCTCAAATCTGCTTGTTCTTTTGTCTTGGTGTCTTGTTCTGCCTTAGAGATTCCATTCCTTCTTTTATCCCTCTATTTAATATAAGCATAATTATTTTGTTTTCTTTTTCAGATTGCTTTATTATCTCAAATTCTTGAAGGTGTTACTCTTCTTTTTACTGTGTTTGCTGATTTTCACCTATGGTGTATCATTTTCTTATATGTTTTGTAATGTTTATTGTGAGCTCATCTTTAATAGGAATTATCTCTGATAATCCTATGTGGCCTGGGTTGTGGAAGTGCCACTCCAGAATAGTATTGATTTTTACAATGTCTGGTACCCTAGGGATATCACTAGCTTCTGAATAAATATGTCAAATTTTTGTCTTAGTTGTTTTACCAAATGAATTATATACTTTTTTTTTTTTTTTTGGTGCGGAAGATCAGCTCTGAGCTAACATCCATGCCAATCCTCCTCTTTTTGCTGAGGAAGACCAGCTCTGAGCTAACATCTATTGCCAATCCTCCTCCTTTTTTTCCCCAAAGCCCCAGTAGATAGTTGCACGTCATAGTTGCACATCCTTCTAGCTGCTGTATGTGGGACGCGGCCTCAGCATGGCCAGAGAAGCAGTGCGTCAGTGCACTCCCGGGATCCGGAACTGGGTCGCCAGTAACGGAGCGTGCGCACTTAACCGCCAAGCCATGGGGCTGGCCCCTATACATTTTTCTGAGAGATTTTTTTCTATGCATTGCTCTGGACATTCTTTACCATCTTTGATCCTGAAGATGTAGTTTTTCTAGCTTCCTTTCATGGAGCAAGCAGCCCTTCCTATCTTTATGCATAGTTCTAGCTCATATCTTTATGGGGAGCAAAAGCTTTGGCTCCTGTTTCTGTGTGGACGCTAAGTCTTCAGCTTCTAGGCCTATAAGACCTAATTGTGGGTCTGATATCCCATCTGTTGACCACAGCATATTAGCCTCTTCTTCTACTGCTCTGGCTTTCAAGGAACACTTTTTTTCTGATACCAGGAGGAATGCCCTCTCCTACCTCTTTTTCTTTTTTTTTTTTTTTCCTCTTGAAACATCAGCCATGTATTTACATTATTTTTCTTCTATTTTTTTCCCCAAGATCTTCAGGTGTTTGTGCTAGGAGAGGTTCCATTTTAGCTGAGTCTACCATGTTTTGGGAAACAGAGAAGACCTTCTTTGATTATTCTTTCTACCAGGAATGGTCTTCTGCATCTTTTGTATAAGTCCATGTTCTACTCATCCTTCAAGACCCATCTTGAGAGATGTTCTTCTGAGTCTTGCTTCCCATACCCTAGTCCTTCAGCCAGAAATAATCACTCCTTTCTCTGAACAATAATACTGCATTATTAAATATCTGCCTTATGTCACAGCATGGCCCCTTTCATAATAGCTATTGGATTACCTAGAATTTTAAGGAAAAGGACATATATCCACTACCAAGCACCCAACAAGTGCTATCTATAAACACACAGTATAGTGGAAAAAGATACTGCATTATGTGTTACTCACCTGCTAAGCACCTTAACTTCTTTTCACTGTGCTTTTCCATAAAATGAATTATCACATCTGCTCTACTTACCCTGCAGAATTTCAGGGGGATGAAGTAAAAACTGTTTACATAGAAGAACTTCACTAACTTCAATGAGTTATACAAATCTAAGATATTTTTATTTTATAGTCTATCAGTGTTTGTTTAATCAAAAAACATTTGAAAGGATATACTTTTATGATTTCATGGAAATGCAGTAAAGAACATTTGAAGAGGATGTGACTTGGATGTTAATTAAAACGAATTTTTCATTTAAAGAGAAATAAACTTGACGAAAATGGCAAACCTAAATTGCATGTGATATTCCAGGAGAATTAATAAACTGAGAGTATTTCACACACATACAAAAGAAACGTTTCCTTGGTATTTTACTTAAAGCAGTATAAAATAAATTGGAAGATGAATGAGAACATAATCTAGCTGCCACCTCTCTTGAGTTATCAGATCTCATTGGCCAAGCAAGTTTCCTCTTCTCCCTTTGGCATTTTGGTCATGGTATCTGTGAAAGTACTCAATGAATCGGGCAGTTCTGTTAAATTAATATTGCTCGAGTATGCACAGCTTAGTGGTTAAGAACACAGGATCTGGAGCCAGACTGCCTGAGTTTAAGAGCTGGCTCCCCCACTTTCTGGTTATAGGACCTTGGACAAGTTATTTAACCTCTCTGTTTTATTATCTGTAAAATGGGGATAACAATATTTCTTACCAGTAATACTCCTTGTTGTGAGTATTAAATGAGTTAATACATGTAGAGCTTGGAACAACATCTGGCATGTATACTGGTAGCTACAAAGATAAACATCTACTACTGGCCAGGCACTGGGTTAAGTATTGGGAATACAAAGCTGAACAGAGTTCTTATAACAAGAAGTTAGGAAACTGATCTTGAACTCAACATTTGTCAGAGAGCATAGATTAACAGTTGGGTAGGGACAGACACCACAAAAATGTGGCAAAAATCTTGATGTAAAACGTCAAATTACATTTGATACATTTAAGGGAAAGTACATTTAGCTCTTGTTACTTATAGTAATAGAAAGAAAGGAGCAGTGGTGCTGATAACCACAAACAGAAGATAATCTGAAAGTTGTTTCCATTTGGCTTTGAAGAGCATGGTGTTTATCATTAGGGGGCAATTTGTCTTACTGAAATCAATATTAAAATGATTCTTCATTTTATGAAGACAACAGTCCATCATAGAAGGAATTAGCACATAGCTTGGAAAGGGAAAGCCAATCTGGATCATTAATTGGTTGCAGAGAATTCACAAAGCGTATAATACAGATAGAGGAAAATCAGCATCAATAAACTCTCTCCAATGAAATAGTAATTCAACATCAGTGTAAAATCATTTTTATAGAAAGAGGGGTTAAAATCTAAGAACCTGTTCTATTATTGCATTAAACTAAATTCTTAATGTGAATGAAGTTCAAATTTATTTAACACAGGTTAGGTTACATTCTTTGTACTGTTACAATATGTACTCTTAGTAGATAGTTGAAATGATGATAAAATAATGTTACAATAACTTGGTTTTTTAACACTGTCTAAACTCTATCTGCTATGGAATACATAAAGAGCTGTAGTTTCATATTGAAATGGAAGCTTTCCAATATTAGAAATTGTAGTGTAAAAGATCAAAAACAGGACTAAAGTACAGAATAATGAATACTTCTAAGTTGTGTTTAATTGTCATTTTGATAATCTTCATTTTAAGTGAAAATTCTTTTTGGAAATATAGAATGTAATGTTGAAATAAATCTGATATTCATTCAGATGATTTGTAAATCCCTATTTACTCTATTTCTCTTTTTCATTTGGCTTTTGTTGCAAACTGGCTGTTAAATAATAGTGAAATAGTGTATGAATTGCCTGCAATGGCTATTTTCCACTTTTACCAACCAGAAAGCTTAAAAAGATCATGGAAGAACTCATCTAACAGATAGTTGGATTTTTTTCCTATTCATTTGACTGTATTAATTCGTGGAATTATTTTTCTCAGTAACAATTGATATAAACTCTAAATATAGAAAATAAATTCATTTTCAAATATTTCTTAGACTGCAAGAAAATAAAAGCGATGAGACATGCAGAGACATAAAAACCAACCAAGCATCTTTTTGTGACAGTGCAGAAATGCAGTGACTTGGGAGTTGAAGTACATTTTAGAATTGAAGGCATTCAAGTTCAACATGAGATTTCCAAAACTTTCAAGGGAAATCTGTCAAATGGGGGCCTACACAGTACTTTCACCCTTATAATATAATAAGCTATTATGTTTCATACATTTAAACATTCCATTTTTTTCTGCCAGAAGCATGGAATTGTGAACTTCAGCAGACAATGAACAGAAACCCAAATCAATGTGTTTCTAAAGGATTATATTGCTGCCAACGCTTCCCAGACTGTTTATTTATTGTGAGAAACTTAACTCCTTCAAGCTTTTCAGTAATACACCGCTTTTGTCCATGTCAAGATGAAGTGGCCCCTTGTTTCTAACAATGGATCACATCATCAAAGCCCCTGGAAGTGCACAAAGCAAGGAGGCATGTCACACTGTGCAAATGCCTTCAGCTTGACTGCCATGGCACTGTCACCATTGTGTCACATGCCGGCAAAGCCAGTGCCACAGAGGATATGGAGCCGTTGGACCAAGCCGTCGCCCCAGATGGGAGAATTCACTTAAAATACAAACACAGTCTGTAGCTAAACTCATGGGACATTTTTTCGTTTACTTACTGATAGTAGCAACCCAGAACATGATTCTCAACCTTGCCTGAAAGATGACTAGAAATAAAAGCAGAGAATGGGGAAAAATAATCAGAGAAGACTGTATTAAAGAATGATTCTTCCCCACAGCGAGAATGGCATATTCTATTTAGAAAAAATTCCTCTTGGGTTTTGCTTGCATTTGCTTCCTTTGTTTGTGAGAATCTGGCCATTTTAGGCACAACAGAATTCATGTTTCAAATTGGTAAATGAGGCCTATTTTCCAAATAAGTTGGATGCTAACAATGTAAGAAGAAAAGGAAAGGTTGTACCATTATGCAATACTTTCTCCTACTTTTATAAGAAAATAGCTACTGCAGTTAAGCACTTTCACTATGCTCCATCTGCGCAAATCTATTTTACCGTTTCTCACAGTGCACTGTAATTTTGAAATAAATGTTTGTCTCCTCCATTAGCCTATAAGCTCCTCATGTTTCTCTCATTCATTGTTTTCTACTCTGTTTTAAAATTTGCAAAACTAATATTTGGACATGGTTAACAAAAATAAGTATGGAAGTGTATGTAATGAAAAACAAATTTCCTTCCCACTTTTTTCACCAGAAGCAACCATGATTGGTTTTTGTGTACATGTCCTTCAAGAAGTTTTCTGTGCATATGCAAATGTTTGTAACATGATGGCATGGTCCAAAACCTATTCTGAGCATTATTTATTTTCCTTGAACAGTATTTTTTACAAAGTTTTTCACATGAGCCTATGATCAACCTCTTCCTTCTGAAAAATGGCATGACGTTCCGTTTAATGGATATGACATTTATTTAACTGGTCTCTTAATGAATGGAAATTTGGATGGTTTCCAGTTGTTTTCTTATAAAGAAAGCCTCAAGTAACATCCTACTTATTTCTTTGAGTACATATCTAAATATAACTGTACGTTAAATTTCTACAACAGAATTCTCACATTAAAAGAAATATGACTTTTAAATTTGGGAAGAGATTTCTGAACCATCCTTTAAAACAGCTTCCTAAATTTTATTTCCATCAACAGTGTAGAATATTCTCTTTTTCCATCTTTGACACTGCTGTGTACTACTAAACACGATGACCTTTTCCAATCTGATAAATGAAACATGGCATCTTGTCCAAATTTGTGTTTTTAAAAATTATGGATGAATTTGAATGTTTAAAAATACGTCGTCTTTGTGAGCCTGGGCCGCTATAACAGAAATACCATAGACTGGGTGGCTTAAACAGCATAAATTTATTTCTCACAGTTCTGGAGTCTGGAAGTCCAAAATCGAATGCTGACTGATTTAGTTCCTAGTGAGAGCCCCCTTCCTGGTTTGCAGATGGTCACCTTCTTGGTATATCCTTACATGGCAGAGAGAGATCATCTCTCTCATGTCTCTTCTTATAAGGGCACTCATCTCATTCAAGAGGGCTCCACTCTCATGACCTAATTACCTCCCAAAGGCCCCACCTCCAAATATCATCATTTTTGGAATTAGGGCTTCAACACACGAGTTTTAGGGGGACACAAACATTCGGTCCATAGTATATGTACATATGCCATTTGTATTTGTAAGGTATTTTGTAGCATAATAGTAAATAGCTTTATAAAATATCAGAGGGGCAGAATTTAAGGTTTTTCCCTGCTTTTAAAGTATAGAGTTGAATGTGTCTTCTCATTAAGTTCTTTAGGTCTTCTATATCCTTATCTATTCATCTAGTTGGTCTGTCATGGACTGACTGGAAGAATAGTCTCCTGCTACTGCTGTGTTTCTCCCCTTTTCTTGTATTTCTTATTTTGATTTATGAATTCTGATGGTATATTTGCTTTCATAAATAGTTTATTGAAGCACTTCTTGATATAAATTCTTTCTTGTCATATTTGATGCTTTCCATCTGAATTAAGCATTTTCTGATATTAATATCAAAATTATTGATTTTTGTAATATTTTCCTAGTTATTTTGCTTATCCTTTTACTTGTAACATTTTGGAGTCCTTTATTGTCAATGTGTATTGTGTATATTAAAGATAATTGGGTTTTATTTTTTATCTGTTCCTAAATTTTCTTTTGGTGGCCTAGTGGTTAGGATTCAGCACTCCCATGGCTGTGGCCCTGGTCAGGGAACCATACCGTCTGTCTGTTGGTTGTCATACTGTGGCAGCTGTGTGTTGCCATGAAGCTGAAAGCCATGTCACCTGTATTTCAAACACCAGCAGGGTCACCCATGATAGACAGGTTTCAGCGGAGCTTACAGATTAAGACAGACTAAGAAGGATCTTGCCCCCCACTTCTGAAAAAATTGTCCATGAAAACCCTATGAAGAGCAGCAGAGCATTGTCTGATGGAACACCAATGGGGTAAAAAGACCAGGCAGGGTTCTGCTTTGCTGTACACAGGGTGGCCATGAGTTGGAATCGACTTAATGGCACTAACAAAAAGTCTTTTATTTAACAAATATTTTATACTATTTACATTTGTATATGACATATATCCTCAATATATATTTTTTTCTGCCATTTTGTTTTAAACTTTTTATTTTTAATACTTCATTAGGTTTTAATCTTTTGCTCCACAGAATGTGTTTTGTTTACTTTTGTTTGTCTTTTCATTCTAATAATTTGGAAATTTGCTTTTTCTTCCAATGAATTGTAACCTTTATAACGTGATTTGTCACCTTTAGGCAGCATCTATCAACTTTCCACTATAAAAATGAAGAACTAATATACTACCTCTCACTCCCACTGAGACGAGGCATTCCTCCAACTGCGCCGTCTAATTTTTGCTCATTATATTATTATTTTTAGTTCTTCTCAGTTATATCTTTAACTAACATGTTATAATATCCTTTTCTTGAGCTATCACCTAGAGACAATATCTGTTTAACACCCCCCCACTGTGGAAGATGCTTCAATCAACAAGAGTAAGTTTGTTATGTCTCACCTTTTCCTTCTCATTCTACCAATCTGTTTTTATTAGTCATATTGCTACTTCAACGTTGTGGTTAAAACATTTATATTCTATGCAAAAACTTTAATCCCAAATTTCACAAAACCAGACATCTAAGAAGCTCTTTAGATTCATCAATCTACAGATTCAGTGCAATCTCTATCAAAATTCCATGACATTTTTCACAGAAATAGAACAAACAATCCTAAAATCTGTATGGATGCTCAAAAGACCCCAAATAGCCAAAGCAATCTTGAGAAAGAAGAACAAAGCTGGAGGCATCATGCTGCTTCATTTCAAACTATATTACAAAGTTATAGTAATCAAAACAGTATGGTATTGGATAAAAACAGACACATAGATCAATGGAACAGAAAACAGATCCCAGAAATAAACCCACACATATATGGTTAATCAATTTACGACAAAGCAACCAAAAACATACAGTGGGGAAAGGACAGTCTCTCCAATAAATGGTGTTGGGAAAACTGAACAGCCATATGCAAAAAAATGAAACTGGACCACTGTCTTACAGCAAAGACAAAAATCCACTCAAAATGGATTAAAGACTTGAACATAAGACCTGAAACCATTCCTAGAAGAAAACATAGGCGGTAGCTCCTTGACATCAGTCTTGGCAATGGTTTTTTGGATTTGACACCAAAAGCAAAGGCATCAAAAGCAAAAATAAACAAAGTTTCTTAAAGTTTAGTTTGGGACTCCATCAAACTAAAAAGCTTCTATACATCAAAGGAAACCACCAACAAAATGAAAGAGCAACCTACAGAATGGGAGAAAATATTTGCAAATCATATATTTCGTAAGCGGTTAATATCCAAAATACATAAAGAACTCATACAACTTAATAGCAAAAAAAAAAAAACTGATTAAAAAGTGGGCAAAGGATCCGAACAGATATTTTTCCAAAGAAGACACACAGATGGCAAACAGGTATATCAAAAGGTCCTCAACACCACTAATCATCAGGGAAATGCAAATCAAAACCCCAATGAGATATCACCTCACATCTGTTAGAATGGCTGTTATTATAAAGACAAGAAATAGCAACTGTTGGCCAGGATGTGGAGAAAAGGGAATCCTCGTACACCATTAGTGGGAATGTAAATTGGTGCAGCCACTATGGAAAACAGTATGGAGGTCTTTCAAAAAATTAAAAATAGAACTACCTTATGATCCAGCAATGCCAGTTCTAGGTATTTATCCAGAGGAAACAAAAACACTAACTCAAAAAGATATATACACCCCCATGTTCATTGCAGCATTATTTACAATAGCCAAGACATGCAAACAACCCAAGTGTCCCCTGAAAGATGAATGGATAAAGAACATGCGGGTGGTGTATATATATGTATCTACACAATGTAATATTACTCAGCCTTAAAAAAGAAAGAAATCTTGCCATTTGCAGTAACATGAATGGATCGTGAAGACATTATGCTAAATGAAATGTCAGACAGAGAAAGACAGACACTTATAATCTCACTAACATGCAAAATCTAAAAATCCACCCCTCCCCCCCACAAAAAGCAAACTCATAGATACAAAGAACAGATTGGTGGTTGCTGGAGGCGTAAGGTGTGGTGGTGAAATGGGTGAGGGGGCGTCAAAAGATACAAAATTCTAGTTATAAAAGACATGCGTCATGGGGATGTAATATACAGCATACAGTGACTGTACAATATACAGTGACTGGAGTTCATTAAACTGTATTGTATATTTGAAAGAGGTTAAGAGAGTAGATCTTAAAAGTTCTTACACACACACACACAAAATCTGATGGACATTAATTAGACTTATTGTGATGATCATTTCACAATAGATACAAATATCAAATCATTATGTTTTACACCTGAAACTAATATAATGTTATATGTCAATTATATCTCAAGTAAACAAAAAAAGAATTTGGGAGAAAAAAAGATTACTTACCAGAATATCTAAATTATTTTTCAGAGTTAAATCTGTACCATATGAAAGCCATCTAATGTGCATTTGTTTATACCTGATGAAATTGGAATTATAATGAAATTGGAAATCAATCCCCATATACTATGTGCAATAAAATGCTGCATTATTAATTATATCAGCACTTGGGTCACTAAGAAAATAAAATTTTTTTTTTACTGAATTTTCAAGTTAAAGAAAATTTGCAGCTGTCATGAGGCTAGACATCTAAGAAACTTTTCAGATCCAAGAGTAACCCATCTCAGTTCAGACACATGCTTGTACCTAAGCCAGAACTGGGCTGAGCTAAGGCTCAAGGCAAATTGCTGTTTACCTTTCTGAGTCTTCTCTGACCTGGACATCCACACATATGAATGTTTGCTGGGTTAGAGAGCACTCAGCAGATGTTCAAGGCATACCTTTGCAAATTGGGTGATTTATCCACGTTGATTTCCTCCTCTGATTGGATACAAATCTACGACAGGAACTTAGGTTCTTCATTCTAAACTTGGAAGGATTGCTACTCCTTCCTGAGTCTGTACTGGGGCAGAATTCCACTTCTTGAGTAACCCATTTGGTTTCTGACTGAAGCCTTGATCTAGGAGAATTCAAAGCCCTACCTTGGAAACTGCCAAGTTACCATGAGCTTGGACTTTCTGCATTTCATGTTGGCTGCCTCACAGAAACTTTATGATGCTAAGAAAAAACAAATAGCAGAGCCAAGGGGCATTACATCTGGGTGGACATGATAATGCATTACACTGCAGTGTAAGCTCTGAGCTGTGGACTAGTTGTGAAAAAGCCTAGCCCATCTCATTGATGTGCTGAAGGATTGTGAAAAAATCTTTAGCCTTCAGAAGTGATAAATGAGCGTACTCCATTTTCATTTAAGCCATGGAAATACTTTAAAAAAAAACAGCCTTAGGATATATCATATATGATGCTGAATCTGGGCAAAACATTCTCTGATAGCAGAAGCAGAGATGATAGCAAGTGTTGAAAAATAATGAGACCATTGAACAAGGTATCTGAAAATAATTGCAAAGAAATAAAAGGTTAACAGCTGTATCCAGTTCCTATTTCTCTTGGGTTTGTCTTACCAATTTATGCAACTATTTGGATACCTTGATCAGAGATAAATGAAATCACTTATTGCTTAAAATAGAAAGTGATTTATTACCTAGAAGCATCTTGACAGAAAAGGATTTAGCCATTATTCCGTACATGTTTGGATGAGAAAAACAGAAAGAAAAAATAGTGTAGAATGGGGCAGTCTGAATGAATTTTAGAGTCTTGCAAGTGAGTAAGCAGCAGTCTGATTCAAGCAGTGAAAGAATGTCTGCTTCCATTTATTTTAATAACTATTTTAATACATATTGTGAACCTTATTCTTAGGATGTAGAGTTGCATTTTAATATTTTAGAAATTTTCATGGATTCTGAGACTAACAGGTAGTGAGGAAAGGCATTAATACTTTTCCTCCTGGCTTTGTCATCATTCACCAGAAAGAGTCGTTGCTGCATAAAAGGAAGAGAATTCAAATTAGGCTAGAAGCACCCAAAGGGTGAGGGTCATTTTTTTTTAAATGTACAATATTCCACACTGCACCATATATATGAAAACCATTACATGAAATGATAAAAAAGAAACTTTCAAAATGCACATTTCTTCCATTATTAAAAGAAAAGAGCTGAAATGTTAATCATTGAAAATTTCCAGTAATACAAAGTAGACCCAAGTGTGGTATTGAACCCAGGAATAAGGGTCTTTTGCACATTCAAAGAGAAAGAAAGAATTTGGCATTTATTCCACAATGCAATTTCACACTCATAATTTTAGGAAGTCATCAGCTACTTGACATAAAAATGATACTTCAGACTTCCAGTTTTTGGTTCAGCATGCAAGGAACTTAGAAGTTGCCACTCCATCCTAACAACCAGTAAAAAGCTGAACAAATTGAAAAATGAACAATTCTTAGATCCCTCAGAGAATTGAGATCACAGGGCAAACCACTGCTCCCAAAATTTAAGAGAAAGACAGGAGAATAAAGAGAATCACAACTTACCTGAGCAGAAACCTCTGAAGGAACCAGTACTAAGGTAGGAAAACCACAACTGCAATTAATGAATTGTTGGAGGCTTACTGTGGACAAGCCTGAGAGTTAGAACCTCCAGCGGGTCCCAGTCATAGGGGATCCCCATGCTATTGTGAGTTTTACTTCCAGAAGCTCAAACGAGTTTCTCACAGTGAATATCAAATCCTCTCATGCTTCCGGCAGGGCAACGGGACAAGGAACCATTTTGTAATATGCCAGAGCGCTCTGTTCTTCTTAACAAGGCCTGATCTCAGGGGAATCTAGTTAACCGGAGCCTACTGTGCTGGGCTTTTATCAGAGCTTAACTGACCTGGGGCAAGGGAAATACCCAACTCCAGCCCCCCTAGCCACGCTGTCTCACCTAAAAGGAGGGAGGAGGAAACAGAGAAGCATTTGTGAAGTTCACAGCCCAGGAACACAGGCTCATGAAAAGCTGAGACCAGTCACAGGAACAGAGAATGCTTCCCTTCTTCCCATACCTCACCACTACATCACTAAAGGCCTATTTACCCTCGTTCCTTTTACCTAGTACATCATGTCCACCTTTCAACAAAAAACTATAGGGCATAGTAAAAGGCAAAAACACAGTTGGAAGAGACTGAGCAAGCATCAGAACCAGAGTCAGATATGGCGCAAATGTTGGAATTATCAGACCAAGAATTTTAAAGAATTAGGATTAAAATGCTAACGTATTTGATGGAAAAGTAGACAATACACAAAACCAGGTGGATAATGTAAGCACAGAGATAAAAATTCTAAGAAAGAATAAAAAAGAAATGCTAGAGGTCAAGAATACTGTAACAGAAATGAAGAATGCATTTGATGGACTCGTAGTAGACTGGACACAGCTGAGGAAAGAATCTCTGAGCTTGACGATATGACAATAGAAACTTCTAAAACCGAAATGCAAAGAGAAACAAGACAGAAAAAAAACAATTTCTAAGAACTGGGGGCCAACTACACAATGTATAACATACACATAGTGGGAAAGCAGAAGGAAAAAAAAAGAGAAAGGAACAGAAACAATATTTAAGCAACGACTGAGGATTTTCCCCAAATTAATGTCAGACACTAAACCACAGATGAAACAGAGAAAGTTGGTGAAAGAATATACAAATAGACCAATGGAACAGAATAGGGAACTCAGAAATGACCCAATAAATACAGTCAACTGATCTTTGACAAAGGAGCAAAGGCAATACAATGGAGCAAAGACAGTCTTTTCAACAAATGGTGCTGGAACAACTGGACATCCACATGCAAAAAAACGAATCTAGACAAAGACCTTACACCCTTCACAAAAATTAACACAAATGGATCATAGACCTAAGTGTAAAATATAAAACTCCTAGAAGATAACATAGGAGAAAACCTAGACGACCTTGGATCATGATGATGACTTTTAGATAGATCATCAAGGTAGGATCTGTGAAAGAAATAATTGATAAGCTGGAGTATATTAAAATCAAAAACTTCTGCTCTATGAAAGACAAGGTCAAGAGAATGAGAAGACAAGGAAGAAAGACAGAAAGAAAATATTTGCAAAAGACACATCTGATAAAGGACTGTTATCCAAAATATACAAAGAATTTCTAAAACTCAACAATAAGAAAATAAACAAATGATTAAAAAATAGACCAAAGATCTTAACAGACACCTCACCAAAGAAGATATACAGATGGCAAATAAGCATACGAAAAGATGTTCAATACCATATGTCATTAGGGAATTGCAAATTAAAACGATTAGATGCTACTACACACCTATTAGAATGCCAAAATCTGGAACATTGACAACACCAAATGCTGGTGAGGATGTGGACTAACAGGAACTCTCATTCATTGCCAGTGACAATGCAAAATGTCACAGCCACTTTGGAAGACAGTTTGGCAGTTTCTTACAAAACTGAACATACTTGCCACACGATCCAGCAATCGTACTCCTTGGCATTTACCTAAATGAATTAAAAACTTCTGCCCACACCAAAACCTGCACATAAGTGTTTATAGCAGCTTTATTTATAACTGCCAAAACTTAGAAACAACTAAGATGTCCTTTAGTAAGTGAATGGATAAACCGTGATACATCTGGACAAGGAATATTATTCAGCACTAAAAAGAAATGAGCTATCAAGCAAGCCATGAAAAGATACGGAGGAACCTTAAATGCATATTACTAAGTGAAAGAAGCCCATCTGAAAAGGCTACATATGCATACACAGTGTATGATTCCAACTATATGACATTCTGGAAAGGGCAAAACTATGGAGACAGTAAAAGGATCAGTGATTGTTAGGGATTAGCAGGGAGGAAGGGATGACTAGGTAGAGCACAGAGGATCTTTTTAGGACAGTGAAACTATTCTGTACAATACTACAATAGTGGATACACGTCATTATACGTTTGTCAAAACCCATAGAATGTCCAATACCAAGAGTGAACCCTAATGTAAACTATATGCTTTGGGTCATAATGATGTGTCAATGTAGGTTCATCAGTTGTAACAAATGTACCACTTTGATGCAGGGTTTGATGTAGGTCAATATTGGGGAGGTTGCACATGTGGGGGTCAGGGAGTATATGGGATCTCTCTGTATTTTCTGCTCAATTTTGCTGTAAAGCTAAAACTACTCTAAAAATAAAGTTTATAAATTTATAAAAAATATGATATTTTACTTACATAAGATTATCCCTGTATTAAAAATAATATTTGCTATTTTTATAGCAGCATGTTCCCAAAAAGGTTAGGACTTTTCCAGAAATTATCTCATGGACATTTTTTTTCCTCATCTTTATTTCTATGACGTGGTCAGCTGCTGGAAATGCCAGGATGTCACTTATATGGTGGAAAGTAAAGTGATTTAAACAGAGCTGCCCAGAAGGTTCATCTTAGAGCTGAACAGGTTAAATCAGGATTTGAGACCACTAATTTACCCTTTCCATGTTTACACCCATGACTCCAGTCTGTAAGAATCTTTTGAGTGAGTAGTCAGCCCAGCAATGTATTTTATGTCATTCTGTTAATTCTAGAAAATCACTATTTATTTATTTATTTATTTATTTTTGTGAGGAAGATCAGCCCTGAGCTAACATCCATGCAAATCCTCCTCTTTTTGCTGAGGAAGAGTGGCCCTGGGCTAACATCCGTGCCCATCTTCCTCCACTTTATACAGGACGCCTCCACAGCATGGTCTGACAAGCAGTGCCTCCGTGTGCGCCCGGGATCCGAACCCGGGCCGCCAGCAGCGGAGTGTGCGCACTTAACCGCTACACCACAGGGCCGGCCCTAGAAAATCACATTTATATCTCGTCCTTCTTAATCCTTCTACAATAATAATTTTGGTAAATTCGAGTTTCAACAAAATATTTCAGTAACTCTTAAAGCTACTCTATATAATTTTCTAGTAGGTAGCACATTCATTTGGAGTTTTCAAATATTATACAGTTTACAAGTTATGCCAATTCTATGAGGAAGAATAGTGTCAGTATCTTTTCTTTTCAGGTGAGTAAACGTGTCAAGTGAAATGAATTACCTTGATCAAGACCACACAAGGTGTCAAACTGGAAATCTGTCACCAGTCCTGCCAACTCCATATTCCCTCTTGTTTCTATCATTATCAAATGATAATGATTTAGAGTATATTCCTCTCAATCCTAGAAAGATTGTGAAGTAGTATAAACAAAAGCCACTTCTACAGCACTGCAAAAATAGACAATGAAGATATTAAGCTATATAGACAGAAGGATGGAGACTTAAATAATGACTGTGACTAACCGTAAAATAGAGATCAGAATTCCTTAAATATCATTGCAAAATCTTCTTTGCATTATAAAGCAATGTTACTTGGAAGAGTGTGGTCTGTATGTGGTGAGATGAGAGGAAAGTGGGGAGGAGGTACAAGGAAGGGTGAAGTGATCCCCATAGACCAGCAGAGAGGAATCAAATCAACATCTTTAAGTTCTACTTAGGAATGTTACAGGCCTTCTATTCTAATCAACAAAGTAATAACTATGTGCAAGCTTTAAGTAACAAGATGCTGAGAACAGCTGTGAATAAAAATGAGAAGAAATCCACTGAGACCAGAGGATTTGGGTACTGGCTGATCACACCCATCAGAGCTGAGGTCACCAGCCAGCTCTGTCATTGGATAAAAGGCCACTGCTTCTCAAAGCAGTTGCTGGTGTTCTCAGATTCCTCTGAGGCTTTCCTCGGAGAATTTTTTTTCCCTTAGCCTCTGAACCAGTTTCTAACATTGTAAGAGTTCTGACTATACAGTGGTGAGTCTTATTTTTTAAAAAATGAATAATTCAGGATGTAGACACCCCAGTAAATGTTTTCCTTGAAGTCATCACCTTGGAAGGTGACACGACTATTCTAAGAGATGCTGTCTTGCTTAAATCAGTCTGCCTTTGAAACCAGTAACAGTCAAAAAGAAAATTTGTCTTGTATTATGTAATATATAGAGTTATATGACCATGTTTTAATACATTATGCTTAATTTTTAAGCTTTTGTTTAATGGCGCTGTGGCTTTTTACTAATGATGTTTAATACTGACTTTTGCTTTAAAAGTGCCTAAAGTATTTAACGAAGTACATAATGTTCTTGTATTTGTTCATTCGATCAAAATCAATTAACGGAAAACTATTTTATATTTACCAGGTGCTAAGTTCATAGAAGAATCAGTTGCCCTACCAAGGGATATGGCACTTTTTTTAGTAACCAAAAGGCGTTTTCTCATAATTAATACGGCCACATGATTCCTCATTCTAGGTTTAAGGGTATTCACTGGCAATCACCTTACACGTGTCTCTACGAGGGAAAGTACCAATATTTTGAGGCTCTGTATATTTTTTCATAGCTTTTTTCCCTCCTTTTCTCCACTTTCTAAATAATATATTCTTTCTGGAGATCAACATTTCAGCTTAGCCTGTCAAGGTTCGCTTTCAACATCTCAGGCAAGGAAGAAAAATCCTGCCTTTCATTTTGGTGTTTTAAATTTATCTTTGTCAAGTAACTCAACCCCAGTTTGTTTTCTGCCAAAAGTGAAATCTACCTGCAACACAAATAAAATATTCAGGACTTTTTTTTTACTAAATAAATTCACAGCCACAATTCAAACATGAAGGACAGCAATTGCTATTTATCAATGCCTAGCTCTTTAGTGAGCGGAAATGTTAAAGAGAATCTTTTTAAAACTAGCGCAATATGAAGAAAGCAGTCAATCCAGTTCTTATAACATAGTCATTCATTTTTAATGGTTTCTGTTAGCTGGGCATCCATCCTGGAAAAAGTCTCAAGGGGTTTTTTTTACAAAGTTAAGGGACCCCTGTCCGGGTATAGTCATAAGCAATGGCATGATTAAATAGCTTTGTGTATAAATGTGTTTTTTTCTGAATGGCAATTCATAAATGAATCCTCGTGCTAAGAGTTTATGTATTATATGGAGCCCAGGACCCTTGAGTAAAGTCATCCTCCAATTCAATGCTTCACTGGAAAGGCACAAATGAGGAGGACTCTCTCTCTCATGGCCCAATAATTATTCTGAGGATCTTTTAAGAAAAAAGGAATCTAGTGCCTATCATGTTTTTTCTGGTAAAATGAGTACATCAGAAA